TGGCTTCCCTCAAGTCCTCACTAAAATCCTACCTTGTATGAGAAGCTTTCCCCAACTCCTTAATTCTAGTGTTTTCCCTCTGTTAATTATTTCCTGTTTATCCTTTAGATAGCTTGCTTTGTAAATATTTGTTTGCATGTTGCCTTCCCCCTGTGAGACTATCAGCTTTTTGAGGGCAGGCACTGGTTTTTTGCCTCTTTTCTTATCCTCAGGTCTTAGTCCAGTGCCTGGCACATAGGCGCTTAATAAATATTTATTAATTAATTGATAGTAGTAGATTACTCAGTTAAACAAAAATACTTTTATTTGGATCTTAGTAACTCTATATTGTTGTCAGGGCCCTGTCTTGGGCTCTGTTCTGGCCAGCATTTTATCATTGATGCGACAGAGGCCAGATGCTGCTCATATATTTAAGTGACACAGAGTAGCAGGAATAGGTGATATGCTGGCTGACAGGATTGGGCTCTCAGAACATTTTGACAGGTTAGAAGTGAGCAGGGGTAAATGTGATGAGGATAAATGCAAAATCCCAAATGTGGTAAAAAAAAAAATCAGCTGCACCAAGACAGGTTGAGGTGGGTTCTGTCTAGGAAGCAGTTCACTGCAAAAGACTGTAAGGATGCTAGCTGGTGGCAAGCTCAGGGTGAGAAGACAGTGAGATGTAAAGAGTTCATGTGACTTCACACTTCAGTGAATATGTTCTGTTGCCAGACCCTCCCAAGGTGAAGATTTTAGTGCCTCAAGTGCCTTCTCATCTTGGCAATTCCCTGATAGAATATAAGCTCCTTGAAGGCAGGAACTATCTTCTTTCTTTTTTTTTAAATTTTTTTAGGCAATTGGAGTTATATGACTTGCCCAGGGTCACACAGCTAGTAAGTGTCAAGTGTTTGGTCTGAGGCCAGATTTGAACCAACCACTGTGCCACCTAGCTGCCCTGAACTATCTCATTTCTCTTGTATCCCTAGCACCTTGCCCAGTTCCTGGCAATAGTAGTCCGTTAATGAATTCTGATTGTTTGAACAATTGATTCTAGTTCAAGACCTCACATCTGTCTTCCACAGAAGCTTTATCCTGCCATGATGGAGGATTCCTTCTTGGTCTTTTCTAAGACTCTAATCTTAGGCTGCCTTAATGAAAGTTTGGGTCCTGAAGCAAGGGAAGGAGACCACTCAGCAGACCTCTCACTGGATCCTTCTCACAGACCACGTCTTAAGTATTGTGAACAGTTTTTGGGGCCCCATTTTGGAAGACATTGACCAGATTATGGAAGACAACATGCTAGGCCATGCTAAGCTAAAGGAGTTGGTGGTGTTTAGTCCAGAGAAGAGAGCACTTGGAGGCAGGGAGAAGGGGAGTTTTGAGAGCAGCCTTGAGATATTTGGATTGTTGCCAGGTCCCCATCAGTGCCAAGCCTGCCATCCTGTGGTCCCATGGGGAAGAGTGGCTGGGTGGGTTTTTCCTCTAGGCCCAGTGGGTGGAAGCTGCAAGGACACAGGTTTTAGCCCAACCTTAAGAGAAGCTTTGGAACCATTAGAACTGTCTGAAAATGGAATTGGAGGTGGTAAGAATGCGAGATCTGGAGCCAGAGGGCCAGGGTGAAGGCCAGCTCTGCCTGTGTGACCTGGGAGAAGTCACTTCACCTCTCTAGGCCTCAGTTTTCTCATCTGTAAAACAGGGAGTTGGACTAGGTGACTCTCAGGGCTCCTTCCAGCTGGAAGTCTATGAGGCGATGTCACAGGAGGAAGTAAGCTCCCACTTACTGGAATTCTGCAAGTAGAACTGGGACAGTGACTGATTCCTGGGATAATATAGGATCGTAGATTTAGGGCTGGAAAGGCCCCCATTGCACACCCACTACTTCATAGCCTCCAAGCCCTGACTTGATACTGAGTCACATTCTGCTCCATCAGATTCTCTTCCACCCCACAGTGTGGTGTGATGTATTACAAGTGAAGAACTTTGAAGTCCCCTGAGGAAAAATGCTAGATCCATGTGACTTTTAAAAATGTTACAGTAATAATAGCTAGCATTTATATAGCTCTTTAAAGTTTACAAAGCGCTTTCCAAATATCTCATTTTATCCTCACATCAGCTTGGAAAGATAGGTGTTATTATTATCCTCATTTATCTTCACCCAAATGAGGAAACTGAGACACAGAGCAGTTAAGTGGCGTAACTAATAAGCATCTGAGGCTGGATTTGAACTCAAATCTTCCTGACTCCAAGTTCAGTGCTCTGTCCAATGGGCCATCTAGCTGTCTTCATATAACCTACATTTGTTTATTCCTCCCTTTTTTCTTCTCATTTTCCCTGTATGTGGGTGAGGTGACGTCTAAAAATTTAATATTCAAATGCCTATGGACTAGCTATGTAACAGGAGCTCCCCTGTTAAGGAAATCCTTCCAGAGAAAGTGTAGCTTCTATAAATCCTTCTAAAGGTTATAAAGTTTATAAGGGTGGTTTCTGTGTATTTAACAGGAGAGACCTCATGAATCAGTATAGCCCACATCTGAAAACACTGGGTGGGCCAAGAGGCTTTTCTCATCAAGAAAGAAAAAAGTGCTAGGTAGGTCCTGACAAGAAGCAAAGTTAAATTAACTGGCTATTAGGTTAGAAACAGGCGGCCTGTTGTAGCATAGAAAGCCCTGCACTTGGTGTCAGAAGATCCAGGTTTGAGTGTGGGCAATGCCACTTGATTGTGTGACTCTGGGAAAACTTAACTTTACTAAGCGTTTTCTTATTTATTAAATGGGTTTAACAATCACTTGTGTCAGTCTGTCAGTCAGTAAACATTTATTAAGTGCCTGCTGTGTGCCAGGCACTGTGCTAAGTCCTGGGGATAAGAAAAATAGGTAAAAAGACAATCCCTGCCCTCAAGAATCTTACAATCTCATGGGAGAGACGGCATACAAGCAAATATATACAGAGCAAGCTATCTACAGGATAAATGGGAAATAATTAACAGAGGGAGGGTACTAGAATTAAGAGGGCTTGGAGAAGGTTTTGTAGAAGGTAGGATTTTAGTGAAGTCAGGGAGGTCAGTAGTGGGAGTGGAAGAGGGAGAGCATTTCAGACATGGAAGACAGCCAAAGAAAATGCCTGGAGGTGAGAGATGGAGTGCTTTGGTCATGGAACAGCCGGGAGGCTGGTGTTGCTGGACTGAAGAGTTGGGGTAGGGGAGTGGAAGTATGAGAAGACTGGAGAGTAGGAGAGGATTAGGTTCTGAAGGGCTTTGAATCTCAAATGAAGCATTTTGTATTTGATCCTGGAGCCACTGGAGTCTATTGATTAGGGAGTGACACAGTCAGACCTGCACTTTAGTGAGGAGCTGACTGACCAAGGGGTCAAGATGGGTACAAGAGGAGAATGGATAGTGCAGAGGAAGTAGCCTACGGGAGAATTGAAGGGTCTTGGGATTGGAGGTCATAGTGAGGATGGAAAGTAGGGTTAGGTAGGGAAAGACAGAGGGAGAGGTGAAAAACCAAGAGATGATGGTCAGATCGGGGGATTTCAGAATTCTTGAACATGGGGGTGGTACATGTATTGTGGGTGATGGCAAGATCAAGGGCAAGACCTTGTGTGTGTGTGTGTGTGTGTGTGTGTGTGTGTGTGTGTGTGTGTGTGTAGGTTGGTTGTACGAGTAGGTCATGAGAAGTGTCATAGGTTGAAAAACCAAATAGTTGAGGCATTTGAGTATTTATGTTGAAATCCCCTAGTATGAGGGCAGGAATTGGGGAGGAGAAAAAAATTAGGAGCCAGGTACTGACCTCCTTGGGGAAGGAAGGGGTAGATGTGAACAGAGAGGAAGAGGGATTACAAAGGGATGGAGGCACAGGCAGAACCTGGGAATGGCAGGAGGGAGCAAGGAGTATTCCATTTCCCCTAGTGAGCCAAGGGGAGTGAGGGAAGGCGTAGCTGGTACATGGGCACTGCTTATCTCGTAGAATTGTTATGGAAATAGTGCTTCCTAATTATCAAGTTCTGAATAAATATGAACCTTATTAGTAGGAACAGATCAATGTTTACACAAAGACAATTAATGGAGAAGAAACCAAAATGAAGATAATTAAAAATTATATATTAACTATGTTGTCTGTTTTGTTTTTAAGCATCTCAGTGGCACAGTGGATAGAGTATTGGACTTGGCTTCAGGATCACCTGAGTTCAAATCCTGCCTCAGACATTTACCCTGTGCAAGACACTTAACCTCATTTGTAAAGTGGGGATAGTAATAGTACCTTATCTTACAGGGCTGCTGTGAGCATCAAATGAGCTAACATCTATAAAGTGCTTTGTGAACCTTCAAGTGCCAGCTTTTATTATTTTTTATTATATGAATATGTAAATGTGGCAGACTTTTGGGAGCCAGGGCTGAGTTATTGTCTGTCTGGTTAGGTTTATTGTGTCCTTATAGCCCTTTTGGTGTCCATATAGTATCCTTAAAACCAGTAGCCAGAAGGAAAAAAAAGTTTGTCTTACTTACAGTATTACTTCTACAATAAACAATAAGCAAACTCAAGCAAGAAAGAAGAATTACAATCAAGATTAATAACACCTTTATTTTTGAAAAGGGGCCCTGTATTGAATTTGCCACACAAAGAACTGTTCTAGAAAGTCTCAATTTGTATAGCCATAAAGTGAAGTTGTTGAAAGTTTTTATTGATGTCATTAGTTTTCCCTCCTAGAGAGCTATTCCATATAACAATATAATCATTTTAAAGACAATAAAAAAGAAAAAGAGGAAAATCAACATAACTGATAAGTTCATTGGACAAAGTCTAAAAATATGTGCAGATATTTCTGAATTAAAAATTGACTTAAGAAGCTGAGACGTGTTCAGAATGACTTTGAATTGGCTTGAAATTCTTCCATTTTCCCCACTCCTTGATCCTACTGTTACAGCATTTAACTGACCAATGTATTTTTGTTTTGGTCAGCAAAATCTACATTGAGTAATATTTCTACTTACTTCTTTTAAAATATTTTCTTCTTCTCTCTAGATTTCACCACCCAATTCTCAGCCCTTTGGAGAGCAGTTTCCAGCTGGAAGTTGATGTCCTGGCCCATCTCTTAAAGTCCCAGGCTCAGATCTCCGAGTGGAAGTTCCTCCCATCCCTGGTCAACTTGCACAGCGCCCACACCAAGCTGCAGACGTGGGGCCAGATCTTTGAAAAGCAGCGGGAGACTAAGAAGCATCTGTTCGGAGGGCAGTCTCAGAAGGCTGTCCAGCCCCCGCACCTCTTCCTTTGGTTGATGAAACTCAAGAACATGCTCCTGGCCAAGTTTAGCTTTTATTTTCATGAAGCCCTGAGCCGACAAACAACAGCTTCGGAAATGAAGGCGCTGACTGCGAAAGCCAATCCTGACCTTTTTGGGAAGATCTCTAGCTTTATTAGGAAGTATGATGCTGCCAACGTGTCTTTAATCTTTGACAACAGAGGCTCTGAGAGCTTCCAGGGGCATGGTTACCATCACCCTCATTCCTATCGAGAGGCCCCAAAGGGAGTGGATCAGTACCCAGCTGTGGTATCCCTGCCCAGTGACAGGCCTGTCATGCACTGGCCCAATGTCATCATGATCATGACTGATCGGACCTCTGACCTGAACACCTTGGAGAAAATTGTCCACTTCTACGATGACAAAGTCCAGAGCACCTACTTCCTGACCCGCCCAGAGCCTCACTTTACCATTGTTGTCATTTTTGAGTCTAAGAAATCAGAAAAAGATTCCCATTTCCTCTCCTTCCTCAATGAACTCTCACATGCCCTTAAAAACCCCAAAGTATTTGCAGGCCTGAAACCTGGATCCAAAGGGTAGTAGGCTTATTAGAGTGACAGTTTCTCAAGGCTGATTAACAAGACTGCTGTAATTTTTGGTGATTCAGGTCACATCCGTTGATGATTCTTTAAAAGCTAAATTAAAGAAAAATTGTCATGACATGTATTGCACATTTCATATGTAATTATGGCCATTTAAGTTAAATATCCAAAGATGACTATAGTAAGTGATCATGGGTACTGTGTATCTCTGTGTTGGACAGAGTGATCTCAGTGTTTTTTCCACATTTTCCTGAGTTTTGTGTGATTTGAGTATTTATTTGGTCCTTGACTTTGTGAGGGAGGAGGTAGTAAAAAGGGGCAGGGCGTGTGTGTGTGTGTGTGTGTGTGTGTGTGTGTGTGTGTGCGTGTGTGTGCGCGCGCGCGTGATATTCTTGCTAGCTGCTGTATCTTCTTCTAGTCCTTGAGTTCTGGTGCAATGTTTTTTTTTTTTCCTGTTGTATGGAAAAAGTAATTAGGATGGAAAAAATTAAATGGCCTTTATAGAATTCACTATTATATGATTTCTGTCAAGAAATCTCCGATCAGCAAAAGGATTATGTTTGGGGTTCTAATTTATTAAATGATCTTTTATGATGCCCAAATGATGAGCACAATACTCTAGTTTTAAAAGAATTATTTAATTAAGTTTTATCTTGGTAATTTTTTGTTTTTATACCCCAGTCATTTTTGCATGCCAGAGAGATTCCCACTTCAGAGAGAGATTCACTCTCACACTTCTGAAATTGAATAATCCCCTATAACAACAATAATAACCTAGTTAAAAATAACCAATACAGTGGCTGTATCGGACTATATTTTTAGAACCTTTTGCCCTCATAGTCCCTCACCTATTTGCAAAGAAGGGCAAGGCATGTGTACTTTTTTCTCGTCACCTCTCTGTTTAATAAAAAGACACATCTAGCTGTGAATCCCATAGAAGGGAAGGTATCTCCATTCAAAAACCCCTAAAAGATGACCCCCCGTTTCAGAGATTGCGTCTTTTCCTCATAATCTGAATGCCTTCTTTAGTCTCTAACTTTATCAGGATTTTGGGGTGGAGGCTAGTAGAACATGTAAGCAAGCCCCTTTCGGTTTAAAATTTCTCAATTTGCATTAACATTGGGATAGTATAGGTCAGGGGTGGGGAACATTCGGTCTTGAGGCCACATGTGCCCCTCTGTTTGTTCTGTGAAGTTTGGATTCAGGCAAAGGGCTGCATTTAGGACCTAGAGGGCCACATGTGGCCTTGAGGCTGCAGGTTCCCCACCCCTGGTCTAGGCACTAGATCTTGGATTTCTTTGGTATACAGAACTCCCGGATTAGGAAACTCCCGTCTACCAATGCAAGTAGTCACCACCCCTATAATAGTCTCCAGAGATTTGCTTGCTTAGAGCCCTAAGTGAAGTGCCCAGTCACACACACAAGTCAGTGAGTGTCAGATGATGGATTAAAATCAGGATAATCCATTATTCAGGAGTTCCCCATTCTTTAGCTCACAACCTTTTTATTTTTCACTTTTTTTGTTGCTGAGATCTTCATTTTAAAGAATCACTTACTTCCCAGTTATTTTTAGGAATAAACAGCATCTAGCCTTTGACTTTATTTGAAAAGCTCAGTGACCCACTTTTCAAATGGCCAGAAGAAAGGTGGCACTACTTGTGCTTATAAAACTTAGTTGTGTATTCCCAGGACCCCTTCCTGCTTGGACAAGCAGCAAAATACTTAAGCACAGTTGAACTGAGACTGTCTTTGCCTTTCTGCCACTAATTTATATTTAGACCCAGTTATACATCTTAACATGTGCTTGACTTCAGTGGGTGTCCATGAGGACTGCATGGATCAGGGGAGGCTTAATGGGGTATGGAGTCCTTTACAGCAGGCTTATTGATCCAGAATGCGAATAAGCCCTAACGGGTAAATCGAGCCATTAGCATCTGACAGCCACTTCATAGTCTGTGTGAGATGTAATGTTCTGGTCGATTCAGTCTCTCCCAGTTGTTCAGAGGCAGGCCTCACATGGGGGCCCCCAGCAAGAAGCTAAGTATTGGAACTGGGCTGAGAAGTAAAATGTACCATTCTAGAGAGCGGAGCCCTGGTGGGTTGGCGTTCAGACACGGGAAAGGTTGACTACTTCAGACTTAGAAAATTGGAAGGAAGCTTCCAGTAGTCTGTTTTCCAGGGTCAGCAGGTGCTTTAAAAAAAAGTGGCATAATTTGCAAATATTGAATTTAACAAACGCTTGTCAAATACCTACTATATGCAGGATACTTCCAGGCACTTAGAAGTGAATGTATTTGGTTGGTTTCCATGGGATTTGGAGCAGGAAGGCTCCCTTTTGCTCGAATGATCAAGTGCAGATTTGTCTCTTTGGCATTTCAAAGCCCTTCACAACCTTGCCCCAACTTATCTTTGATTGTCCGTGACTCTTCATGTCCTCTAGGATCCAGCCAAGGTCACCGTGCTGTTCCTTGCCCATGACATTCCATCTCCCGTCTGCCTTTGCTCAGCCTTTCCCACATCACACACCTGGGATCCACACCTCACTTCCACCTCTTTCCTTCAAGACTCAGCTCAAAGCCTTCCTTCCACGTAAAGACATTTGTGATCCCAACAACCATTAATGCTTCCCCACCACTCCCCCAATTTACTTTGTGTATATGTTGTATATTTATGTGACCATGTTGTTTTCCATGGTAGAATGGAAGCTTCTTGAGGGCAGGGACTGTTTCGTTTTTGTCTTTGTATCTCCAGCATGTGGCACAGTGCTTGGCACACAGTAGGTATCTAATAAATGCTTGTTTATTGATTTATCTAGTCTAAATCCATTATTTGAAGCCTAGAGCAGTAAAGTAACTTGCTGAAGGCCAAGGGATATAATATATAGCAAGGCTTGAGTTGGAATTCAAGTCTTCTAATTCCAAGTCTTTCACTCTTTTTCTTTTTCTTTTTCTTTTTTTTTTTTGGTGAGGCAGTCAGGGTTTAGTGACTTGCCTAGGGTCACACAGCTAGTAAGTATTAAATGTCTGAGGCTGGATTTGAACTCAGGTCCTCTTGACTCCAAGGCCAGAGCTCTATTCACTGCGCCACCTAGCTGCCCCCTTTCACTCTTTTTCACTAAAAATGTAAAATAGTAATTTTCCCTGAGCATTTTAGTCACACTGGTTCTTGATAGGGAAATGGTCTTGAAGCCAGAAAGACCTGGGTTCAAATCCTGCCACTGAAATACTTCACTGTTACATAGCACTTACTTTGTACAATTATCTCATTTGATTCTCATAACAACCCTGGGAGGGAGGTGGGATTATTATCCCCATTTTATAGGTGAGGAAACTGAGGCAAACAGGTTAAGTGACTTGCCTAGGGTCACACAGCCAGTAAGTTTGAACTTAGGTCTTCATAGAGCTTAGGTGCTCTATCCTCTGTGCCACCAGCTGCTCCTTAGGCAGCTCCCAAGTTGCAGAGGAGGTGCCAGCTGGAATTGGTAGAGGGGGGTTTCCTCATCTGGATGTTCCCTCTGCCAATAAAATCCCAGGTTCAGTCCTTAACTCTGTGCTAATTTCGCTTTACATTGAAGTGGAAGCAGAATTTAAAAAGTAAACAACACAGAACTGAAAAGGAACTTGGCCATCTAGTCCAATCCATGCACAAAAAGAATCGCCGTTATAGTATACCGGAGGAGTGATTGAACATTTCGAAGGAGGGCCCAGCACCTCTTGACGTTGTCCATTCCACTCTCGGACATCATTAGGAAGTTTTTCCTGACATCAAGCCTGAATTGGCCTCTCTATCTTTCCTGTGACCTTTGCCACCAGTTTTGCCTTGTGAGGTCAAGCAGAAAAAATTCTGACCCCACTTCTCCATGAAAGCCCTTTAAATCCTTGAAAACAGCTATCCTGTCTACCCCCTTCCCTCTAGTCTTCTCCAAGTTAAGCCCAGTTCATTCAAGCAGTCCTGTTATGACATGGACTCAAGATTCTTCACCATGCTGGTTGCCCTCTTCTGGACATTTTCCAGATTGTTACCGTTGTCCATCTTCAGCTATGGCGCCCAGAGCTCTGGGTAAGGTCTGATAAAGGCAGAGTATATGAGGAGCCCCCATTCCTAGAAGTTAGGCCACCTAATGTAGCCCAAGATGGTATTAGCTTTTTGGCCACTGTATCCCACTCAGACTGAGCTTGCAAGACACTCATCCCCAGATCCTTTTTCAGAATAACTGTTGTTTAACCTTGTCTGCCTCTACCTTCCATATAAATTAAAGATGTATGAGGTTGAATTTATTAAGCACCTGTTATGTACCAGGTACTGTGCTAAGAACTAGGGATGCTAAAAAAAAAAAAGACATATGAGGTTGACAAGCACAAGTAAATGCTTTTAGCATAAACATTCATCTTCCTCTTCTTTTATCCATGTTTACCTGTTAGAAGAGCCTAACTAGATCTCAGATTGCTAGAGTTAAACCTTAGAGATCACACAATTAGGCCTGGAAGGAATCTTAGAGGTGGCTTCACTTTAAAGCTGAGGAAACTGAGTTTGTGTGAGACGGAATGTTGAAGGTTATATAAATAATAAATGGTAGAATCACAATTCACACTCAGGTCTTCTGCCTCCAAATTGATTATTTTCACCATTGTACTATGATTTTTGAGTTGTTTTGTGTCTAAATCCAATACTTTTATATTCATCTCTATTGAATTTTATTTTAGAGCCAGCCCAGCTGTAGCGCAAGCTCTCACTCAAAGTATGATCTGGGGGTTCTTCAAAACCTTTTCAAAGGTCCATAAGGTCAAAATGATTTTCATAGTAATACCAAGATATTATTTGCCTGTTAAAATTCCTCCCTTTTCCAACTACATATCTGTGTGAGGCTGGATTTTCTTCGTATACTTTGCCAAAACAACATATTAGTTTGAATGCAGAAGCAGATATGAGAATCTAGCTATCTTATCTATCTTTAAGCCTGAACAGGCTTAAAGAGGTTTGTAAAAATACGTAAAATAATGCCAATCTTACTGAATTTTTTGTCTTGTAACAATTATTTTTCATTAAAATTTGTTAATATAAATAAGTTTATTTTTATTTTAAAATAAATTATTTTTAAATGTTATCAGTTTCAATTTCTA